TCATGCGGTACACAGTAACTGATATGATCTTAACTACTGACATTTTCTAGAGCTTTCGTCATCAATTCAAGGATTTGTCGGCATGCAATGGATTTATTGCATTTCTTAGAGCATACCACTTTATTACTAGTTCGGTCGGGCAGTTTTTTATCCCTATCTCTGTCGGTCATTACCGTCATAAAAGTCAATCCTGATGGAACCTGCTGCCTATATAACTAATATATGCCCTGTCATGCGAATGCCAGCGGTTAAATGTGTCGTGCTCTCACATTACCAATGCTTCATACATTTTGCTCTCGCATTCATATTTGATGCTCCTTAAAACACTTAAGCAACAGTATGCGACAGTGTTGCTCTGTAGACTGCAGACACTCGCCAATGTGCGACGAAATTTGCCATACACCGTTGAAAGCCCAGAGCCAGTCAGGGAGCGACGATGACCACAAACAGCGCTTTGTTGTAAGCTCCGAGAAAAACTTCGTAAATCGCTCTTACCTTACGGCACGCCATGAACAAAAACAGTCATTGTAAGCTCGCTGGGCGCGGTCGACTCTATCTCATGGAGGTTCAAAGACACGTGTCACGCCCTCCATTCCTGATTAGATAATTTTGGTCCGATTACTTAGCTTCGTGTCTGCCTCCTGCGGCACATGCTGCCGGCACGACGGCTACCAGTCCAACCTGTCTGATAAATTAGCTCAGATGTGGCACGCGATGTGCGAGAGCACCGAGTGTTCCTCGTGGAAGTTACATGCTCAGATTACAGCAGTCTTGAGTTCACGACAGGTATTTTTAGGATAGCGGCTCACTAAAACACAGCAAAAATCAGCTGAACTCGCAAGAGTCAGCCCGACACGGACCAGCGGGGACCACCTTCCGCCACGGACCGGCGGGGACGGACCACCTTCCTCCGCGGACCGGCGGGGATCACCTTCCTCCGCGGACCAGCGGGGACCACCTGCCGCCGCGGATCAGCGGGGACCACCTCCCGACATGGACCAGCGGGGACCACCTTCCGCCACGGACCGGCGGAGACCACCTCCCGCCGCGGACCGGCGGGGACCACCTCCCGCCGCAGACCAGCGGGGACCACCTCCCGCCACGGACCAGCGGGGACCACCTTCCGCCATGGACCGGCGGGGACCACCTTCATCCGCGGACCGGCGGGGACCACCTCCCGCCGCGGACCAGCGGGGACCACCTTCCTCCGCGGACCGGCGGGGACCACCTCCCACCGCGGACCAGCGGGGACCACCTCCCACCGCGGACCGACGGGGACCACTGTGGTCACGGTCCGGCGCGCCCGGGGCATGTCCAGCGAGGCCGAACCGACCGTCGCGCCTGCGTGACGACCAGCAGCCGTCGTCGGTCAGAGCTCCCAGTCAGGCGATTAACCAATCGCGGGCCGTGGCTACACCGGCGGACCGAACCAGGCTCCGAAGACCACGGCCCAGGGTCGGGACGGCTCGGCACGCCATCGGTGGAGGGGTTCAGATCACTCGCCGATGCACGGAGAAGCGCAGTCATTCATCATAGGTATTGTGCGGAAGGCCAGAGGCAAGAGACCATGCTGCAGCACGAAAACCCTAGATGTTATACGAGATAAGGTTGTGTTCTCCAAGCGTGTGACACATTTGTCTGCCATCATACCAAAACGCGCGTGAGTAGTGTTATGTCAAACACCTGTCCTACACATCAGACACGAAGTCCCGGACCAAACCCGGCGAAAACTCCGAACCCTGCCTTCCCCGTCATGCGGCCCAGGGCTTCACGCCGCAGTCAGACCCCCCCCCCCCCCCCGCCGTCCTCCCCCTGTCACCCAACCTTGGCATTGGTCCAGCCATCGGTCAGTGGCCACCCGATCTGCCCGATCTGCGCGCGAGGTCATCAGACAGGGGGCGTCTCCGGAACGCGTATCGGTTCGGCGGGGCGGTGACGCCAACTGCCCTGGCGCGAAACAAAACCTTGTGCGCAGTTGTCGCACAAAAACGTGGCACATGTTACGGTGGTCAGTTATGGTACAAAATACTGCGCTTTACCCCGGGAAGGTAAACGTGGCAAGCTGGTAACATCAGCAAGCATTGGCGATTAAATCATCGCTCATCGACTAGCAACTGAAAACGGATAAATGTGTGCATAAGCGAGTGGTCAGGCGTTCAGGTTGTGGATACTGCTGTGGCAGCAGTGCAGCACAGCTGACTAGTTATTGGACTGCAGGCAGGGCACTCCATTATAAAATATTGACTTAAAGACTATATCATCATACACATTGCCATTGGTTGTGACTAATGATGTGATAGATGATTGTGGATATAAACTTTTGCTGCGGCAGGACTGACTGCGTTCGAAATTACGTACGGGGACATGTTCCCATCTCGTGGCACACGATTTGATGTGTTCAATTTCTTAAAGCAATGCTAACAATATTTCAACTTGCTCTGCTATGTCACATATTGCTAGTTTGCTGCACAATCACCAAGTGGAAAATTGTGCTAATATAACCATCGTTCACAACTCGTTATTCACTCTCGCTGTTACATCATGCAAGACATTTGCTAGCAAGTCCACAGCGATTTGCTTCTACCTGCATTCACTCTGGTTTCCTTTCGTACCTCCAATGGTGTGCTTCAGTGACGCCGTTAGTTCAGAATGGATTTCCGTATCATACGCCAACATATTTATATGCGTCATTCACCATCGCGTACGCAAGAAAAGGCCACGATGCTTGCTTTTGTGGACGAATCGAGTGTAAGTGTAATTAAATACGACTCGGTTCTTTTGAACGCGTAGTTCTATGGAAGCTCTCTCACGCGGTAACGACATTGAGCGCTGGTAGGATTAGATCATCCCAGTCAATGAAGGATGTAAGGCGTGCAGAAACACATCGCTGATCCCGCCTGTTATTCAAATCGGTTTGGATTTCAATGCTGTCTTGAATTCTCACCAGCATTTTGGATTCCGGTCCCTGTCTTGCATTGTAAAAACTTGCGTGAGCAAAAACGTTAGAACTAATTTTAAAAATCCCGTAACAATGAAATGCTGCAAATACCCTCGTTAGTAATATGTGACACTGCAGAGACAGGCAGGCCATTTTGCCACCACATGTTGACAAGGCATGGAAAGCCTGCAAGAGTCTATATGTGGTTCATTCTAACGCTTGGCGGCAAGCGTGAGGCAGCGGAAGCATTGGCAGCATGTGAGCCTAAATGACAATAGTCAACGTTGCGGGTGCTTTAAATGTGCTTCACTTCTTAAAGTACTCAGGACACCCACCACTTGGGCATGCTGTCATCTTAAAGAGTTGGATTTTCATACCAGAGGGACATTCGGTTTCAGCTGGAAGCGGAATGACGTCAGGGTTTCAACGCTGTACTGTGCCTCCATGGGGCTTGTAAAAAAGCGAATTTTCCAAAGGCTTCAGAAATATTTAGGCACGAGGCCAGACAAAGTCCTCAAATATCTACGGAAACCAAGGCCAAAAATAAGTTTGCGCCGGTGAGAGGTCAATGTCAGTTGTTTGACACATTTTACAAAGTGCATTGACCCCGATAGTCAATGCATTAGAATGCCACTGTACGTACTGTCCGGGTTTCCTACCACTGTAAACTCACGCACAAAAAGGAATGTCATTCATAAAGCCAGGTGACGAGCTCTTGATTTTTCGGTATGATGAGTTCAGAGCTCTTATGCTGACAGTCATCGCCCTTCAATGTACAAGAGGCATTGGAAATATGCCGGTGCCTCCTGGTATACTGAATGGCGATAACTGACAGCAAAACAATTCTGCACTCTGATACACAAACCATTAATTTCGTTCAGTGCCTGTGATTCGAGATTACTTCGCATGGACTAGTCCGTGAAAAAAAAACACATTCACACGTAAGGTTAATAATTTCCAATAATTACCAACCAAGTAAAGACATGTGAACTTTGGTGGGAAGGTTCAGAAATCGATGCTCTATTTGGATTTTGTGACAATGCGGCTACGTTTATCGCCATGCGTAGATACCTAAAGCTGCAGAAGCAGATGGCATACAAGGCACGTGAATAAAACAGACAGGCACACGCCATTTTTCGAATCATATTTCGTGGTAAACAAACCTCTTCCTCAACGCCCTACGTACCTCTTCTTGAGCGTTTACCCAAGCGAAACCATACTAACAGAAAAAGTGCGTGAAATACGAACAGCATAAGCATGGCAGCCTTGGGGTAAAGCTCTTATCAAAAACAATTTGTCCTAGCACACATTGTATGCGTGTTAAAGCGTTTGAGTGCTCTGCTTTCTAGCGCTTCGCCACATTTTTGCTGTAAGATCTGTGCGGGTCGTAGTGGAGACAAAAATCATAATGCAAAAAGAAACTGGAGAAAAGTCCGCTGACATGACCGGTGAAGAGGTCCATACTGTCTTTCCGAGGCTTAACAAAAAGCAAGCTGCGGGCGCAAACAATGGGGGTGATGAAACAACCGATGACCTTCTTGCTTCAAAGATATTGGTGGTAGTGAATCCAGATGTGCACCCAGAAGAGGCAGATGAGGAAGCACGAGATGTTCCGGAAATTCTCCCGACGCAAGGCTCATGGTCAGATGATGACAATGCTCAGAGCGAGGCGAGCGTGGGCAACCATGACAGAGTCAAACGCATCTGCTGCGGAAAATACTGCAGAATGCCTACTCTCAGCAATAAAATTCGAAGCACGCACGGTGAGGAACAGGAACCGAGCTCAGCCAACGCAGTTTGGCCGTCACCTCTGCATAGCGTATGTGTGAAGCTGTTGCTCACCATGGGGAGCACTGACTACATATTTGGACCGCAGCTGGCATGGCATTACGGAGGGCTAATGTACTACGTGCCCGTAATGCTCGTGCTCTGTCTGTCATCGCTGCCCATACACATTCTTGAGTGCATTGCTGGCCAATACGCAGCCAAGAGCATGACTTCATTCCTGCCTCAACTGGCACCGATCTTTCGCGGTCTCGGTTACGCGACACTTATCGTTACTATGTTCACCACTGTGTACATCATGCAGAATTGTGCCTGGATTGTCGTGTACACGATCTACTCGGCCCAAAACACGATACCCTGGCGCACGTGCAGCCCATCGTACAACTCGAAATACTGCTACACCCAGGCGCTTCAGAGCGAGTGCACCAGGACGTCCAACTACTCCATCTACTTTGACTTCCGGTGCAGGTCGCCCGGCCAATTCTGTGCCTACCACGGCTTCGCCAACTCCAACGGCACGCACTGCTTTAACAAGCCGCAGCGGCCTACGCCCGCTCCACGCTGGCTCATGGACCAGCAGGGGGACCTACCAGACCAACGTCACCGACGACTGGCCCGTTGCTGGTCAGGCGACGCCCGTCGGTCACGTCGGCCGCCGTCTGATCTCGCAGCGTGATTTCTTCTACTACTTCGTGCGCGACAGACCGAGCAACCACACTCGCGCGGGCCTCAAGGAGCACCGGCGCGCCGTCTTCACGCGCAGCTACCTGCTCGCTTGGCTGCTCGCGTTGCTGCCCTGCTTCAGCGTCTGGCTCTCCTCGTGGGTCGCGGTGCTGCTGGTGCTGCTCAGCCCGGTCGTGGTCCTGCTCCTTCTGTGTCGTGTGTTGATCTTCCCCGGCTCCTGGGCCGGCATCGCCAACTTCTTCTACGGGCGCGCGCACCTCGCCACCCTCATCGACCTCAACTGCTGGGTCGATGCCATCAGCATGGCGTACTGGAGCGTCAACATAGGCGGGGGCCTGAACCCCGCGCTGAGCTCGCGCAACCGGCTGCGCCACAACGCACTGCTGAGCTCCGTCATCGTCGTGTTCTCTGATTTGGCGTTCGGCGTCCTCAACAGCATGGTGCTGTTCTCTGTGCGCGGCACTCTCGAGGTCCGCTCCGCGTTCATGTACGGGGAGCTGCTGGAGCTGGACGACGACCCGCAGGCGCTTACGTTCGTCGCCTTCACCACCGTCGTCGAGATGATGCCACACCAGCGCTTCTGGGGCGTAATTTACTTCGGCACGATGCTGGGGCAGACGGTGGGCTCGGTCGCCATGGTCGTCATCGCCCTGGGCCTGAGCCTGGTGGACGCGGTGCCGTTCTTCGGGCACTTGGCGTTCCCGCTGGCGGCGCTGACGGCCTACTCGCCAGCGCTGCTCCTCGGCGCGGTTGTCGGCCTCGGCACCTGGTTTGGCTCCGAATGGTCCTGCTTCTCGCTCTTCCAGCTGCAGTGGATCGTATGCAACATGCTGATCGCCATGGTGCTCGGTCAGAAGCTCTCGAAGCCGGCATTCCTGACCGAGACCAGGGAGCTCCTGCATCAGCCGCTCGGCCGCAACCTCGGACGCTTCTTCGTCGTCAGCTGGCTCGTCATCACGCCCTTCATCACCGTCTTCCAGATGCTGTACATGATAACGCACTTCCAGCTGCCGCCCGTGCGCCCCGGCTCGCACTGGTTGATGGCGCTGAGCTGGGTGGCGGTCTCAACGCCGCCTCTGGTGACACTCGTGACCACGGTGGTGGTGTGCCGCAGCACCAACACCTGGGCGCTGTTCGCCACCACCGACCAGTTCCGGCCGGATCCGCAAGCGCTAGTCGAGCTTCAGAGTGCCGCCACGATCGGCCTGGAGACGTACGTGGACCAGACGTCCAGCGGCAAGGTCAGAGGTCCGAGGTCAGAGTCAGCAGCTTCCCCCTCCCAGCATGAGGGTCCTCGCACTGAGCTGCGAGGATCTTCGCTCTGAACGACGGAGGACCTGTGCTCTGAACAGCGGGGGGGTCCTAACTATTAACGGCAGAGGGTGCTCGCTCTGAACGGTGGAGGGTATTCGCTCCGAACGGCAGTGGGTCCTCGCTCTGAACGGCGGGGGGGGGGGGCATAGCTCTGAACGGCGGAGGACCAGTGCTCTGAACAGCGGAGGGTCCTAGCTCTGAACGGCGGAGGGTGCTCGCTCTGAATGACGGGGGTACTCGCTCTGAAAGGCGGAGGTCCTGTGCTCTGAACAGCGGAGGGTCCAAGCTCTTAACGGCAGAGGGTGCTCGCTCTGAACGCCGGGGGGGTCATAACTCTGAACGGCGGAGGACCTGAGTTCTGAGCGGCGAAGGACCTTGCGCCCTGAACATCGGAGGATCCTAGTTCTCAACGGCGGAGGGCTCGCGCTCTCAACGGCGGAGAGCCCGCGCTCTGAGCAGCGTGGGCCCCGACGCCGATCGGTGTGTCTGGCTGCTGAGGCGTCGCGCTTAAAATCATTGCTGACCCTCCAGTGCGAATGACGCCTCCTTCCCGTGGGGCGCGTCAAATTGTTTAATGCACATGATATGTCCCTTTGTATATGTGAGTGCACATGTGTCTTGGAAAATTCGTATGACCTGTAGTTCACCATTGGCGGGGTGTAAACAACTGAATTAAACCCCGTCCTCTTTTCTTGTGTTTTGTTGCCCGGACTGGACTTCACTGAATCGGACTCAACGCTGGTATATGCACGTATGCGGCGAGATACGTGGGCCATCTAAACAGCAGGAGATTCTTTCCAACCACCAGTTCCAGCCAATACAACCTTGAGAGTAAGCGCTTCTCGTTATCAGAACTATAAACCTGCGGACGGTAAGAACTATGACCATAAATGGAAGACCTGATGTGGGGCGGGGGAGGGCTACCATTGGTTACTCTCGCAAGAGAACCTATAATCAACATCAAGGAACCGAACGAGGCCATATGTCCAGGTTCACGTGAAGGAAGGGCGCTGTTGCATTTAAGTACCGCATGATTCGTGACGATTCGGGCACAAAGTGCGGATATTTGCACGACCATGAAATGACTCGCTGCCACGGCTTAAGTGTGGACAGTGACGGACGTCATAGCTATTCAATATTCCGCCTGTTGCTCTAGCTCTGGTGTCGTGCCATTGGGGCTTTACGACGCACTCGGCTGCTGAGGCTATATGGCGCCGCCTGCCTCTCACCCTGGCAGGAAAGGTGGGTGCCGCTGGGAATCAAACCCCGTACCTCTGGTTTCCCAGACGTGCAGTGGTTTACGCAGACGCGTTAACCACTACACTACCGGCACCCCTCTAGCTCTGGTCGTCACCGTCAGTTGCTTGCGCACCTGGAAGGATCTCCAGCCTTCTCCCAGCCCGCATAACAATTACGTGATCTTCTCTGCAATCGCCGGAGCCAACAGCAATCCAAACCGCACTGTCACGGCCGTTTGCCGCGACCGTTCCACGCACCGCCCACTGCTCTGCGAGGCCGGCGGGTGCCATTTTGGCCGCGCGTCGCCCGTTTACCCGGACAGCGTTTCATCAGGAGCGCCGAGTGTCACGCGCTGTCACAACCCGCCGCCCCCGGAGAGAGTGTCACGCCCGGCGGCGCGCCGTCACGCCAGGTCACGGCGGGTCACGCCGCCCGCGGCCGCGCCTGGTGGCCGGACGGTCCGCCCGGCCGCCGGCTCAGCACGGGAGCGACCACTGCGGCCGAACGTGCGGGCACTGTCGGAGCCGCGGACTGGAGGTGCGTTGATGGTTTGAGAAGCGTGGCCGTGGCTGATTTCAGGCCGTTATGGCTTGACGCAAAATGTTTTCAATGAATGAATGTACGTGCTTTCGCCCGGGAGACACGTTCGGGTTTCAGCACCGAACCAATCACGCAAGCGTCATCGAAACGAAGCCACAAACATGCCGATTGGCTGCGACTGTCGCATCGAAGCATCTCAGCCAGCCCAATGATCTCCGTACGAAGCCCAATGGCGCGTGACCTCCCAGCACGCGGCGCTTTCATTGCGCAGGCCACCAGCACCGGACCAGACCTTCCCACGCCCACGGGCCGCCGGCAGCCGCCGCGGCTGTTCGCCAGCCGCTTCGGCGCTCGCCGCCCGTCGGGCAGCGTTGACGGCACTTGCAGTTTCACCTGGCTCGGCGGAATCTCTCTGGGCGTGTCGGCCAGGCGGCGGTGCCGCTCGCGGGCGGCGCAGACTGCGGATGTAGACCGTGACCAGGCGCGGCAGAGGGGAGGGGGGGGGGGGGGGGGGGGGAGCGCCCGGAGGGCTGGGGACGGGACGGAGAGGCCGGCGGCGGTGGCGGCGGCGCGGCGGGGGGTTTCACGGACGGACACCGAAGCCATCGCGGGGCTCGCAAACGCTGGTCGCAGAACAAGTTTCTGAGAAGGTCAGCGCTTGTACCCTTGCCCCCATTTTTGCCGCTTTTTGGCAGCTTTTTGCATAGGGACAACCTGGGATGTCGATAATAGAAAAATGCCATCCCGGGACACACTGCAACCGCCGGGGCTAGCGTTTGAACTAGGCCCTAGAGATTCCTTGTCGTCACTGTGAGGGTAGATAACAGGGAGGCTGGATATGCACAGGGAACTAGTTACGCATCTGCTGATATCCAACATTTCACTAGCTGTTCTGAAAGGTCAACGATTCCAACACGCATCAGTCCTGGCGACATTAGAGACAGCGTGCTCTTTCCAAATGTCAATGCCCTCACACTGGCCGGTTAAAGGACTAGGGTCGCACACCCCCGCCAGCACGGCTGATCAGCCTCACAAGCTGAGCAAGGTTGCGTCTGCCGTAGGGATCGTTTGATGGTGTCTTGCCATTGGACAGCCCTCACGAGGACACTTGGCATGGCACCTGCTGTCTACTGTCGGCTTAATTACGCAGAAGCTGACCAACGACAGCGACACGCACACCACGACCCCGCGTATGCTGCGTCACAACATAGCTCCACAGCAGATGCGGGCCCGTGGCGATATTTCTGATATGAACACTGAACCCTGCGATCCTGGACGTTTTGATGGTTCCTCTTTCTGACGGTTCCCGATGGCCACGGCGGGTGGTCCTGGACACACGGGTGGCGCGTGCACCCACTGCCGCTGAGACCCCAACAGGTGGAGGCGCAGACACCGGCGCCGCGCCTCATGCTCCACATAAAGGCGGCCAGATAATGACGATGGGAATCTCCCCTTTGAGCATTCATCGTTAGAACGCGGCGTAATGTTTTCGTTGCGGTCGGCGCATTGCAAAACCGACTGACATTGAACGATTACCTCTGGCCGCACGGACTGGCGGAAATAATGGGATTGGCGGGGGACGCCCAGTTGCCAGTCACGCTTGACAGTGATGGCATATTCATGGAAACAATGACATGTTGAGAATGAAAAATATCCCATCACAAAGCGGCCAATTACATTCGCCAACGGTATTCGTTGGTGCCCGAGTACTACGAGGCTGCAAGTCAGTCATGCGACGCATGTCGGCCCACCACTGAGCCTTGTTAGAGACCGCGCGAGCTGGCGACAAGGCGCAAGCTTGGCAGGTAGAGCCCTGGACACATACCGGGAGGAGACCTTAATACTAGCACAGGGCGTCAGGCTGGCGTTGAGTGTAGAGCGTCATGATAGAGGCACAATGCCAACACGAGGGGGAGACACCGGCAGGGCTCAGACGACTCCACGCAATCGAGCCAGTCCAACCAAGCCGAGATCTCTCCAAAGCCAGGCGCCGGGTCAACACCAGTCACATCATACTCTCGTTATGCCCGGCCGGCCGCCCCCGATCGCTTCCGATAACTCATCGAGCGAAGGGTCAGCCAACTGACCACCCTCAGATTGCACCTGCCAACCCGTCAATTTCACGGGGCCGCCATCTCCTGTGGTCGGCCACGTCCCGAACCGATCATTTCGGTTCGTGATCTCCCCTACGCTAACGATCTCGTACAATGTGGTGATGATGATCATGTTTGTTGTTGTTCGTTCATTGGAGTTTTCAGGCGCGTCGACTGCAGTGGTCATTTTGCGCCCATAACTATGCTGTTACTTAATTAGTACGGTGTGAAAATGACTTCAAAATCCAATATCCTTTAAAAACGAAAAGAGCTGTTTGGGATCAAGAAAGGAGGAAGGAACTGTCACCAAGCACATCGTTAATCGTCAGGGTAGAAGCCTGTGAACCAAAGTGACGTCGTCGTTCTTCGATGAAGGCACGGACATGATATAATGACACGATGGACAGTTGAGGACGGCACCACGCCGCTGGCATAGGGGTCTGTAGGCTCCGATGATGATCATGTAGTAACGTGATCTCTACCACGCTAACCACCTCCAACAGCAGGGAAGACCAATAGCCGGCACGACCACATATAATGTGCGATACCTCATGCCAGAACACGCATCAACCAAATGTCACTGCGCCAAGAAGCTTCAGCACGCGCCAGCACGCCTCCGACTTACCTGTCGGCCGGTCCAACGCTCACGAGAACCCCCCGTCCACCAATCGATCACGAGCGCTAATCCACCCGCGTCGTGCGACTCAACACGTTTCCATGACTACCGGCCCGCCGGTCCACCGCACCCCAACCCGTCGGCGGCACTCCACGGTCTGACACCACCGGCGGCGCTGCCCCCAAGTCAAGCCGACGGCGACGCTAGCGCCGGCAAGAGCGCAGCGGCCGCGGCGACAACAGCAGCCTCGCGTGGGGCCACTGATACCGGCTCCCGCGCAGCTTGTCAGGCAAAACTACCGATGAGTTTCACCAGCACGCAATCGATGCTGCATTTCGCGATGCTTTGCTGGTGCCGGGCACGCATACGGCCAAACAAGACTTGTCGCAGCCGCTGAGCTGCGCCTGCATTTGCACGCACCGGCACCCGCGTGATGAAAACACTGCACTCGGGCTTCCGTTCGACACCGTGTGCACTTCACGCAGCTATGACTGTCATGTGCTGGTACTTAAGGCGCCCGTAC